TTCATTTCCTTTCACTACACTTCATTCCTTGGGTTACTCCTATTCTCATTTTGTGACTGGATTGGGTTAGGATCCCAGGAAGCAGACTCCCAAGCAGCTCTGGCTGCGGAAGAGCCATTGGCATGGTACCTACAGAAGAAGGGACGATGCTTAAGGGTGCCTGCAGCTGGCCTAGCTGTTCAGAATTACTCCCAATCAGAGGGAGGAGGGCAGGCCTGCCTACTGCATCCTCCAGTCCATGAATGCAGCCTGGTCCTTTGAAGAGGAGGCCATCTTGGGGCCAGGGCAGCACCGTCAGCTGAGGGGAATTCCTGGAGACGCTCAGCTGTGACTCATCAGCAGCCAAAATGAACTCAAAATGCATCCTAGACCTAAATATAAAACCTGAACTTACCAACTTCTAAAAGAAGACTTAGCAGAAAGTATTTGTAACCTTGGGCAAAGACTTCTTTTATCAGGTTCCAAAAACTTCTGCGCTGCTGAAAACAGATTGCTATTAAGGTTATTAGGAAGATGGAAAGACTTAACCACAGATTGGAGAAAATCCTTAGAAAACATATGCAAAAAAATTACTTCTCTTCCAAGTGCAAAGTAAGAAACAAACAACCCAGCTTAAAAAGTGACAAAAGACAGGAAGTTACTTGACCAAGTAAAACACAAGGATGGAAAAAAAAAAAAACGACAAAATGCTCAACATTGATAGTTATTAAAAAATTCAAATTAAAACCCAATGAGATACAACTCTTCCTATGAGAATGGCTAACATTAAAAAAGGATTACCAGGCCTGGAGAGAACAGAGATGAACTGATTTGTCCACAGTCTGCTGAAAGAAATGGAAAATGATAGCACTGCTTTAGAAAACAGCTTACCAGTTTTCAAAAAATTGAAACGACGCTTACTCTATCATTCAACCTTTCCTGTTCCATGTATTCATTCAAGAGAAAAAGCACACATCCAAGGACTTGTACAAGAATAGTCACAACAGCTTTGTTTGGAAGAGTGCCATGTGCAAAAACGCCTCACTGTCCATCAACAGGCAAGAGGATCAATGAATGGGCACACCGGTACAACAGGCTACCACTCTGCAGACACACTGAAAAGAGATACAAGTGAGAGACATACCACAGGGCTCCGTCTGTATAAAGCTTCAGAGACTTGAAAGGTGGGTCAGATGAGAAGATAGGGGTGGGAGGAGGGAGCGATGGAAGAGGCAAGAGACCCTTTTAAGCTAAGGGCAGGCTCCTTATCTTGATTGTGGCGATGGCTCCACGTGTGTATACTCAGGTCAAAATGCATCAACTCTCCCAGAGAGAAGACATAAAGAAGGCATGACAAAAAGTTCCGAGACAATTATCTCTTGCCTAGGAAAGTAAAAACAAAAAGCCTGCATCTTACCACAGCAATCCTTCTTCCTGCTTAAATATGCATGGAAATACAGTGCTATATTCTCATTTTCAGGAGAGATAAGAATTCTTTCAGTCAGTTGCAGTGTTCATTTAAAGTGCAAGTGATAAGTTAACAACCTTGATTCATTAATGATTTGAAAGCCTGCTCATCAAAAAATCTTCCAAAACCCATCTTAGAATGTTAAAAATTGAAAGAAAGTAGGAATGTGATGAACTACATGTTTCCTGCAAATTCAGTTTCATAACAAGCGCTAAGAGAATTTGTATCACTTGACCCAACTTCCAACACTGCTTACCTTCTCTAATTTGTAAAACACAAAAATCTAGCCACTTAAGGTCATTTTATAAAACTGACTTCCTATACCATATGCCATGAATTTGACCTTACAACTTGGATAGCGAAAAAAACATTTCTGTATCTTTGGCACTTAAAATAAGGATTATGTGCTGATGTTATCCCTAAATTGCAACTTGAAAGCTCCATGTCTTATGAAGTTTTGTTAACAAGACTGGTTGTGTGTAATGAATGAAATGCTACGTGCATATTCCAGCACTAATGACTTCAGACCCCGATTCTCACCTCTGGATGTGCCACTCCACATAACCAACGACACCATGCGTTTCACATCGCTCATCTCCCTGGGTCAGGATTCTCAGGACCTCCCTGGGAGGAACAATCCTAACTGTACTCTGGCCAAGCCTCCTTGCAGTCAAGTGTTGATTTCTGAAACAAGTTCTCATGAGATGTTTCATTTGCTCTAGGTCTCTGTGCAAAGATGCTAAAACAGCGCAGGGACCACAGTTTCAGTACCATTCTAAATAGGGCTGAGACACTCAGGTACAGCCTGGCACCTGAGAAGTGGATCTCCCTGAATGATCAGTCAATACTATTCCTAACTAAGCTAGTGCAGAAAATTTGTACTTTTCAATTATGCTACAACTACAAGCTCGTGAACCTCTCTGAACCTTCCTGAATAACAGGGCCTTAATTTTCCAGTTCAGTAACAATAGTAGAGAAAGGATCAGTCTAACAGTGCCAGTGCCAGATGCCGTAAGGATTCAGAGATGGCTCGTCTCAGTGACCTGGTACGGGGCCTGGAGCTCTTCCAGGTTTCATTCCAAAGGGTACCAACTGGGAGGCTTCTCTAATGTGTGGAACTTTGTCCCAGAGACACAGAGACCAACACAGCCCATCCCTTTCTTCAGAAATTCAGAGTTTACCAAGGGAGTCAAAAGGTTACCATAATATTGAGAGAACTGCAAATCAGTGAAGGACAGAAACAGAGCAATAGAAAAGATTTCATTCTTCTTGTCAGCGTCGACAACCACGACTAAGAACAATTATCTCAGAGAAGCCACGGATGCACCTGTAACGTGGCTCCTGCCTCGTGGCACACGGCAGTCTGTTCTGCTGAGTTCTGTGTTCTGTGAGTTCCACTACTCAACAGGACTGCACGGCGAGAAGGAAGGAGCAGGGGCTGTGCCTGTCCTATGGCCTCAGGTCTCTAACTCTACTTTCCTCCAGCTAAATAAATTCTTTTAGAAGAGCAAAAAGAACTAAAGCTCAACCAATTCCTTTCAGCTCCAGGGCTTCCAACCATGTCAACTGTTAATTGGAAGGGGATGGATTCTGAGCTGCAGGAAGCTAATTGGGAGCCCCAGGCAGAAATCCTAACAGTGGTAATTGCTACTTGTCCTTTTCAGCAGGATGCTGCCAATGAAAGGGTTATCTCTAGGGTGCTGATTGATTCACATCCTTGGAGGAAAGAGCAGTGCTCAGAGACAGGTGCCCTGGAGTCTCCCATTTCCCAAACCCAGCAAACACTGAGAGATGGTTTTTTATGAGCTACTGGTGCAGGGCCTTCTTTATTTGGGCAACAGAATCACAAACATCTCCATTGGATAAAACAAAGGTTCTTTATTGGGTTTTCTTTTCCTAGTCCCCCTCCTGCAAAGCAGTATAAGTAAATTATCATTGGAGTTGGAAAATAATTTTTTAATTAAAATCATATCCTATTCTAATTTGGTTTTCCCTTTGCCTTACGTTTCTTCAACAAACCCTCTTTCTGAATATCACTATGGATTTAGGAGCTGTGTCCAGTTTGTCCAGGGCCAGATTAAATGAACTATACTACACTTTTAGAACAACAGTAATCATGCAGAAGTGAGGTTCCCATATTCAACTCAGGGGGAATATGATGTTCATAGCCAGAGATGCAAAATCCAGAAATTAACAGAGAAATTAAAGGCCCACAGCAAAGCCCATTCAAATGCTATCAGTTCCTAACAAGTTTTCTTCTGAACATTTTTGGGGGTACTTTGCCAACCATTTTCCATCCCCCTATCTTATATGTAGTACTGGAGACTATGTTACCCTCATCTTCCTCCTTGTTCAGCTGAATATTAAGGCTCAGAGTTTCAGAGACTTGACTGTCATCACACAGCTCAGAGGTGACAAAGCTGGGCCCATTCCCTGTCTTTGGATTCTTGCTCCTTTGATTTTTCTTCTATGCCTCTCCCTTAGAGTTGAAAGGATTGTTCCAGAAATGTCTCTAAGTAAAGGCTAAAATGTCCTAAAACTGAATCAAGGGGGTTTAAGGAAATACTCATGGCTTACTTTCTTTATCAGGAATCCCCTAACATATAAAAGTGGAGAATAGCATTGCAGACCTCTGTGCACCCAGTAGTCCGCTCAACCCTTCCCTACCACCTCACCTGGAACAGAGGGTGGTTCCCAGCTGGGCTCATGCAGAAAAGACCCAGCCTCCCAGGGGTGAGAGGGCTCCTTGAGTAAGAAGCTCTCCAGGATCAGAGTGGGCATGCAGTCAGCTGACTTGAAGTGACGGTAATGAAACCCCTGAGGCAGCTACTTCGTGAAGAAGTGCATCTGGGCTCACGGTTCTGCAGGTGCCAGTCAAGGAGCTGCAGCGGCAGAGCTTGGAAGCAGCCCAGAGCATCACACCACAGGCAAGAGAGAAGGGACGTGCGCATGCGTATGTGCGTGCGTGCGCATGCGTGTGTGGTCGCTGTACCTCCTCTACCAAACCAACTAGTCCTACTCGTGGGGTCTCCAACCTAATGACTTAGTCTCATCCTAAACATATTCCCCAAAGCCCCGCCTCTTCACATGTGCACTGCGTGAAGTTTCCACCCTCTCAGTGCCCCACAGCGGGGTCTAGTTTTCAACACGTGACTCCTTGGGAATATTCAAGCCATACAGAGACCATAGCTCTCATGATTTAAACACCAGCCCAACTAAACCAAATAGCGTGAACTTCCTGACCTATGCCGTGTCTGATCGCTAGGATTCCCTCACAGAGAAGATAATACTTCCAAAGAGCCAGCATGTCTGCACTGTGGGAGGGCCACGGAGAGCAGGTGACTTACTACATGTCAAAATAGCGAAGGCCACAGCACACCACACTAACTCCAGACTTTTACCTGGGAGAGAATGTTCCTTGTTTTGAAAATCTTTATTAGTCCAACAAGAATACTAAAGTAAATCCAGAAAAACCTTAATATTAATAAATTAAGCTCTCATGAACTGCAATGGTTTTAAAGAAAAAAGGACTCACACAAGCAACATTTCTTACCAATCCTTTGTGTTCCAGTCGAGTGTCTGACTCTGAACTTCCCGACTGGATACTGAAAGAGTTTAGAATTTCAAAATTATTTCAGGCGTGGGGGTGTGCACGTGCACACACACACACACACACCACCACCACCACCACCATCACACCAAATAGACCTTACACTGTAACATTTAAGATAAATTTTAAACAGTATTTCCTCCAAGTGTCACTTTCTGGACATTTCAAAGGGAAATAAAAATAATGGAATGTAAACTTTACTCGCGGAAGATAAAATAGCCTTAAAGGTTCTCTTGAGAATAAGCAGTCTGAACAGTACAATCTGTTCTGAAAACCTGCAAAATCTCTTACTTCAACCAAAAAAAAGGAAAGGGAGGGAGCATATCTTGCTATGAAACAGCAGGCTTGGGGAATTCTGTTCTCTCTCTCTCCCCTCCCTCCATCACTCTCTATTGCTTCTGGGTCATCGCCACTGCCTTACGGACCTGTTGCTACTTAATGCACCGAGCCCCTCACCCTTTTACTTTCTGCTCCATTGCACTGACCTATTTTGTTATGAAGGTTATAGCAACACTATTCTCACCGCCTTTCCTCCTTTTTTTTTCTTTCTTTTTTTGGTAAAGCCACTCCAGGCTCTCCCTGGTACCACTCCACTGACACTGCACTTGGCACAGTCACCACAGAGCTCCACATTACCACATCCAGGGGTCACTGGGCACTGCACGTCTCACTTAACGGTTGTGACATGAGTCGTCACTCCCTCTTTGAAACACCTACACAGGACATTCCAAGGTCCCTGGAGCACTTTCTCCACATTGGTCCAGTCGGGTCATTCTGACTTCCTTCTTGTCATTACTCAAGTATCATCTTCGCAGAGAGACTTATCAAAGGCATCTAATTTAAACTTCCAATCCCTCATCTCAACACCATACTCTTACCACTTGCTAACCTGCCAAGTCATGTTTGTTTATTGTTTTTATTATGTATCTTTCCAACTGCAAACGTTAAGCTCTTTGAAGACTTGCAATGTTTTTCTAATTTTAGTTCTCTATAACTTCTTAAAGAGGTTGCTCAATAAAGATTTGTTGAATGAATGAATGATTACATGAGTGATTCCCAAACATCATGGCTGTAACAGATTCCATCCTGTTATTACCAATTGATAAGGAACTTTTTACTATTTTCTGTCTCCCTAACATTTAAGTTTATTTCCATATTTATGTGCATGTTTTTCACTTTTCCAAAGATTTAGAGCCCATTTAAAAATATCCACAAAGTAATCAGTGACTACTGAATGAAATTAATTAAATTTTCACTTAGTGGAAGGGGACACTGGGGTTCTCAGAGATGCAATTCCTTTTCTCACATCAAACCTGAATAATCAAAACCCAGCGTTTCAGTGCTTCTTACTTGACAGAAGCTCTTTATCATGAAATGGAAAACCAGCTCCTGGCCATCGGAGTTGCTGGACCAACCAACAAATGGCCTTAAAGGACCTTAGGAAACTGGCTCCTCTGACCTTCTAACTGATTTTACCTTCTGCCAGCGTGGCTCACAAAAGCGGTGTTTTCAACAAACCGTACTTGCTAATCGTTCAGAGAAGTTTCTCTTGTTCTGGGGTCGTCTCCTCTACCTACAACACTCATGCTCTCTTCTCTGCCTGGGGAAACCGTGCCCTGTCTTCACACCATCACCTGAAGGCTGCCTCTCCCAAAACCCCTTGGATGCCACTGGTCAGAAGTCTTTCTTGTCTCTCTGTGCCACAGGTGGGTTTTGGATGTCTCTTAAGCCTGACGATGTGTCGGTGTCCCAGGGTATACTGGGGTTTTGCCTTTCACAGCGACAGTCTGAGAGAGGACAGAGACTATACCTTGTCCACATTTTATTTGCCCAATGACATGCTGACCAAGGAATTAATACTCAGTCACTGAACAAGGCCAGTGAAAACAAAACACTATGAGTACAATACTCTCATTCAGGTGGGCCGCCATTCTCCACACAAAGAGCTATTTGAAACCACTTTCTTTTAATAAGGCTGAGACAAAACTACTGATTTTAAAAATGAGGGCGCTCTGGCTGCCTGACAATAATATTTAAAAGGTCGTGAGTCATGGCGGAGAGTAACCATAGCAACCGGCATACACAATAGAAGTCATGTTGCACAGTAATTGAGGAGGGGAAAAAAAGGAAGCCTTGGAAAGCCTATTAGCCTGGAGATAACGAAAATTCGAATTCACAAATGTATTTAGGAAGCTTGTTTTTATTGCAGCATTTTCTTACTTGAGGGTTCACGGAGACACTGGAAAATCTGCTTAACATTTCTATTGGCCAGGAGTGATAATTACATATAAGTCTCACAGTAGCCTCCCCTCACTTCCCAGAACTATTTAAGAAGTAGTGATTTCCCTCCTTTAAATGTCTTTCTACCTGCTTTCTCTACTTTTTACTCCATGCTTTTAACGTTGAATTGGAGTAACAGTCCCCAGCTAGTCTAACCTTCCCTTGCTTAGACACTTAGGAGCGAGTTCCCATCGAGTTCACATAAACTGCGGAAGAGTCTGTCTTAGAGGCAGGAGAAGAAGAGGGGGGAGGGGAGAGGGCAGGCAGACACAGGGACCAGCTTGTCCCTGCTTGGAAGGGAAGGGGCTGAGGTGAACCCCAGCTGAGATCAGCGAGAACAGCATGATCCTCCCCACGAGAGCCGTCTCCACCTTCACAGAGCACTCAGCTCCTTCCGCCAGGAGCACAGGGACACAAGCGGTCCTTGACAGACAGCAAAGTCCCATCTCCCCCGGCTTCCTTAAGAGGAGTACCCTGGCCTGTCGCTTTCGCAGCTGTGATACTCAGCGCATTTGGTAGCACTATGTTCACCTGCCCCGTCGTCTACATGTTACATGCTATTCCTTAAAGGGCTTTGTTAAGGAAATTTAAAAGAAAATGAGAGTTTGCTAAATTTCTTTTGATTTCACGGACAGAGAATTCTCCCTCCTAAAGCTGTTCATCTTTTCACAGATAGGGACTCCTCTGCATACAAAAACATTTTCCATAAAACCCTGGGGAATTGTGAATTGATCACATGGCCCATGGACCAGCATCTGAAGGTTAAAAGCAAATAAAAACAAGGCTCTCACATTCACGTAAGGAAATACAGTAACTTCACGAAGAACTTCCTAACTTAGCAAAGCAGAAGCGTGGTTGCCCCTGAATGCTTTGCCCAAGAGACACTGCCCTCCAGGATTAAGCTCCTTCTACAGAGGGGGCACAGTCACTTCCCATTCAAGGCTTAAGAGAAAATCCTATAGGGACGATAATGCCACACTTCCAGGGGAAATGAGTGCTGTGCCAGCAGGCAGTGACAGAGAACTCTACTTCCAAATTCGCAGCCAGAGCTGGTTCAGGTTTTGTTTTTTTGGGGGGGGGGTGCGGGGGGAGCTTGGAGAGAAGGAATGACACACTTCTTTCTGTTCTTACATCCCAGCAGTACAGTGGCCAAGGAGACATTTCACCTCCGGAGTCTGAGGAGAATGGACCAAACACCCTCCTCTAGCCAACTAGTCCCAAGGTTAGGCTGCATGAGTGTGTCATTTTGAGATGAGCAAGTGAGGGACACCTTATTCATTCAACAAATATTTATTCAACACCTACTGTGTGCCATATTTGCCTCTATGATCAGGGAAGACAGTGGCATTCAAAGAAAAAGATCACAGGCCACAGGCCAGTGCTGTGGTGCAGTGGGTTAATGCCCTGACCTGAAGCGCCAGCATCCCATATGGGTGCCAGTTCAAGACCCAGCTGCTCGTCTTCCGATCCAGCTCTCTGCTATGGGCCGGAAAAGCAGTGGAAGATGGCCCAAGTGCTTGGGCCCCTGCACCCGCATGGGAGACCCAGAAGAAGCTCCTGGCCTGGATTCGGATCCACCAGCTCCAGCCATTGCGGCCATCTGGGGAGTGAACCTGCGGATGGAAGACCTTTCTCTCTCTCTGTCTCTACCTCTCTCTGTAACTCTGTCTTTCAAATAAATAAAATAAATCTTTTTTTTTTTTAAAAGAAAAAGATTGCTCTTCTGGAGAGGAAAGAAAAGTCTCTCAGATGTTTTTTCCCACACTTCTTAAAGAAAGATTTTCTTTGAAGTTCTGAGTGATGCCTACTTGTCCAACAATTTCCATGAATTATTTGGGGACAGGAGGAGCTGGAACTCACCTGCTTCTCTCTGGGGTTACAGACCCTGGGGCCACAGATCTCTTGCTGTAGCATTCTCCCATCTCAATGCGGACCCGCCAGAATCTGCTGCCCGGGACAGACACCAAGTGTCTCCATTCCTGAGAGTTTTAGAATCCCTGCTGCTGCTCGGCGGTCCCTTGTTGCTGGGTAACCACAATGGCTGTGGAAGGGACAGTTAAACCTCCCCCCACACAAAAAAATCTTAGTTACAAAGCCACATCAAACCCTCCACGTCACCTTACAAGCCAGACTCAGACCCAAGAACAGCAGAAGAGTCATCACAGAGTCATCATTTCTGAAAAACCCATGCAAAGTGCAATAGTGACAGCGGTTTTAGTGCCAAGTCAGGCTGTGTTTCCATCCAGAGCCAGTGCTACAGCAATAGTCCCTGGGCTGTCTGAGAGGGCCACACACCCAGGAATACACTGGTTTACATGCACACAGTGGTTTCTCCCTCCTTGTAACCATCCGCTTTCCTGGGACCCCCAGGGAAAATACCCTATGTGGCCATGGCCTAATCCGAGTATCAAACACAGGATCGCCCGGGTGATATGTCATGCCTTGTTGATTGGCTGGTATTCTGCTCATTGTCACAATCCATCTATAAATAGTCCTCCTTTCCTGCGGCTTCTCTGAGGTCACTGGCTAATTTCTCCAAGCCATTGCTGCGTGCATCCCTGGAAGCCCTTGCGAACCCAGGGGAGTCTCAGTCCGTTCCACTTCCTGCTCTGGCAGGACGTCCAGGTGGCAGCTCTGCAGTCTACGGATCAGAATCCCTGCTGGGTTCTGATCACTGGGTGCTGGACTCACCCCACCTAATCAAACAGCGCATCTCAAAACGCATCAGAGGTGTGACAGCAGTGTTCCCAAGTGTGGAGTTTGTTTCCAGGGTTGGTGCACACTGGCCAAAGAAGTGTGGTATTAGAATAAATGAATAGTTAGAATCCACCAAATTAAACACTGCAGTTAGCATTTGCTTCTCCGATAAGACTTTAAGTCCCAAAGTCCTGTGCTACACAACCCTGTGTGTGAAATTAGGAGCTATGAGCAACGGGCTGCACAAGCCAAGACTAGCTGCTGAGCAGGTGTGGAAAGACAAGGTTGGAGCCCTCAGCCTCACATCCAGCCAGCAGCCTGCACGGAATCACAAAGTCGTTTTACCCCTCTCGGCTTTCATTCTCCTATTTTGCAAAGAACCACTTGAACTGTTCCTGTCATCCCTTCCAGCTGTAACATTCTGTTCTGTTGCCTTAGTCCAAGCAATTTCAAAAACCCACAGAGTAGATTACACTTCAGTACATCTTAGAAGAAATGCACAGGGCTTCATCAAAGCTGGTTTGTAATATTTTATGAAAGGAAGGTCATCTCAATAATGGCTGCGGAGAGGCGCTGTGGGCACTAATTATTTATTACAGTTATTAATCTTATCATACATCTCGTTGATCAAAAAAAAAAAAAAAGGCAGAGAGATAGGGTTGGTGCAAAGCAGACTGTGAACGTCCTGGAAAAACAAAGTGACTTTTCCATTCTTACCCTTCCTTAAAGGAACACTGCATGGCAAGGGTCTTGTGAGGAAGCAAAGGCATGAGCCGGCTTCTTGAGCACACGCTGGCCTATGGAATTCTATCCACAGGCTAATGAAACTGACGGTGTTTATCTTCATACGATTAAGTTAAACCACCAATCACTCAATCACCCAAATGACCTTACTTTTAAAAGTAGAACGGAATTTTAAGAAAATAACAACTTTCTCCTCTATGTCAAAAGGAGAAAAATAGGCAGTACAACAAAACTTCTGGAAATATATGTAGTTATTGGCATCACCATTAACATTATTTTCAACCAAAAAAAACACAGCCATCTCCCTGGGGCTCTTGTAGACTGTTATGTAGGGTTTGAAAACTTACCTAATAGCCTGTCAAAAAGGCATCTTAGAATCAGCAATCAGGGAGGTGCAGATAGCAAGGAGGAGCATACATACTTTGCATGCTGTGCTGCTAATGGTGATTAGGGTGCCTTAGGAGACTTCGATGAGCAAATATCAACAGGATCAGGGAGAAGGTGGAAGGAAGAACATAACCACGAGAAAAGAGCCAGACAAACTGATAACCCTTTGCAACCAAGGGGTGGTGGAGGAGAGGAGAAGACAGGAAAGAAATCTGCAGCAGGGTCTTTGCAATCAGCCTGCAAAAGAGCCCTTAGGCCTCATCTTTTCAGGCTCCCTTTCACTGGTTTATTTGCTCATTTGTTCTCAGGGATTTGTTGAAAGCCCAGTGTGTGCTAGGCATGGCACTAGGCACGCACCAAAATGTTATTGTCCCTGTGTTCACATAACTGATCATTCTGTCTGGGCTATCATTGCAGCGGAATCAAATCCTGCTGGAGAAAAAAAAAGATAAATGAGCAGATTGTGGATTTCTAAAAGGTTCTTGTAGCTTAACAGATAAACAAGATTAAAGATGAACAGATTAACAGATTCCAAGCTCTGAAAAAATAAATAGGGACAAGCGTCGCAGCGTGGCGGCTAAGCCAACACATCCTAGCTTAGAGTATCTTGGAACAAGTCCAATCCAGCTTTCTGCTAATGTGCAGCCTGGGAGACAATAAGTGATGGCTCAAGAACTTGGATGATTGCCACCCATGCAGAGGACCCGGATGGAGTTTTTGGTTCTTGTCTTTGGCCTGGCCCAGTCCCTGTCATTGCAGGCATTTGGAGAGTGAACTAGTGGATGGAAGAATCTCTCTCTCTCTCTCTCTCTCTCTCTCTCTCTCTCTCTCACCCTGCCCTTCAAACACATAATGAGTGGATTAAAAATCTTTTCTAAAAAGGAAAATATAAGTAAAAACAAACAGGGGTGCCTTCTAAGTATTCCTCCCGAGACAGAATTTTGTGTGGAAAAATGGCCACCTTTCACAGAGTGACCTAGAGACGTTTTCCATGTTCTCTCATTAGGGACAACACAGGGTGACCGTGTTTGAGTCTGAGCGTATGAGTGAGTGTGTTTGTGTTAGGGAAGGACCATAGGGAAGGGTCCAGGGGACAGAGAAAGCTCAGCATCAGTGTGCAAACAGGCGCAGATCAGCCAAGAAGCAAACCAGCAGAACACCTGTCAGAGCTGACTGCAAGGCTTCTCGTCTGTTCTAGTGAGGATTAGAGAGCTCGCTTGTCATTGTGTTGTGACCTCTGCCCCAGGTTGCTGATTGCTGGACACAGTGGGGCTCATCATCTGCAGGCTTCCAGCCTGCTCTCCTGGGGAGCCCTGTTTCTCTGTGTGGTCTAACCCCTTGCTCCTGCAGTCTTTCCTTGGGAAACGCAGGGATGGGATTGCCGAGCAGGAAAGTAAGCCTCCCATTGGTGCCTTGTTTACAGCAGGAAACAAACCCTGTGCCTTCCTTACTGTTCCTTATTCCAGTATTTGTCACTTGGAATTCCTGGCAGTATTAGATTGTCCTGTGAGAACTGCCTCTCTCCCCTCATATGTGGCTTGGGGAGGGGGGCAGTCAATTTGTGTCCCTAGTCCCCTCCCCCGATAACTTAAGGGGTCACAGACCCTGTCTAGACAAATGACACAGTATTGAATTGGGATCTTCATTAACTGGATCCTATGACGCTGAGTCTTAAGCAGATGAGACAGGAATAAAAGTAGCAGCTGAAGTTCTAGTCATCTGCTGAGCCCACAAACATTGATGAAGGCCCTGCCGTGGGCCAGGAGCTTTTCTGGGTGCTAGGATTCCACGACACAGGTGCTGCTCACAGGAAGTTCACATTCAAGGTGGTGGAGGCATTCAAACAAGTACAGAAGGCACTTAGAGAAAGGACACAGAGAAAGCAAAGCAAGAGGCCTGGGTCAGGCGGTGACAGAGCAGAGATGTGAGGGGTGAGAAGCGGCCTGCCTCGGGACACTTTCAGGAAAGTGTTCAGGGACCTGTTCCCATCGTCATGGAAACATGCTGTTGAAAAACACATCTTGGGCCGGAGCTGTGGCGTGGCGGGTGGGGCCGACGCCTGCAGTGCTGGCATTCCATTCTGGGCACCAGTTCTTGTTCCGGCTGCTCCACTTTCAATCCACCTGCTGTGGCCTGGGAGGGCAGTGGAGAATGGCCCGGGTCCTTGGGCCCCTGCATCCATGTGGGAGACCTGGAGGAGGCTCCTGGCTCCTGGCTTCAGATTGGTTCAGCTCTGGCGGTTGCAGCCAGCTGGGGAATGAACTGGTGGATGGAGGACCTCTCTCTCTCTCTCTCTCTGCCTCTCCTTCTCTATCTGTGTAACTCTGACTTTCAAATAAATAAATCTTAAAAATAACTAAATAAATAAGTCTACAGGGCTGAGATTATATATATAATATATATTTATATAATTCATATAATATCATATATAATATATATTATAATATATAATATTATATATATATATATGTATGTAAAAGAAAGAAAACACACCGGACTTTGCGTCTTCCTGTGTACCCTTCACAGAGAAACTCTTCCAAAGGGCAGCTTGCTGGCGCGTTCTCTCCTCGGTGGTCCCCCAGTCCCCCATCAAATACCCATGGACCCCGCGGAAACCGAGTTCTTCAGGTCCCCTCCCTTCAACAGCTGCGTTGGGACTTCGCGTGCCCTGTTGCAAGTCCTGCTTCTTGGTCCTGGTTTCCAATCCAGCCTTCTGCTGATTCCAGGAGCCCCCAGATGCTGCCTGCTGCTACCCTTTTGCTTAGCCAGAAAGATTTTCAGTTGCTTCCAGCCAACAAATGCCTAATTCACACTCATATTTTTCATATTAGTGTTGATTTTACCCAGAAAATAATTGTTGAACTTACAGCACGTTCTCCATTCATTCTCCTGCTAGTATTTGCTGTTTTCCTTAGAATGTCACTACCCTACTCGTGAGTATGTATTTATGATTCTCCTGTGATTGATGTATTTTCTTTTATATAATTCATTTCTGCAAATAGATCATTCAGTTGGAAACTTTTATTATTATCTGTGTGCCTGTTACAATGTGTATTAGACACAAGTGTGGTTCAAAACATTCCCAGTTCCAAGACACTTTTTTTAGACTGAGACGCTTACTGAGACATTTCTCCTTTAGTTTTTGTCTGCTGTTAAAATATTCGCAAATACTCTTCACGTCTTTTCTACTGTTTTGCTACTCCATGGTCTGTGGAACCCCTGTTCTTCATGTCCCTAATCACATCTCCATTAAATTTCTTATAGAGTCATGAGCTGTAGAATTAAATATAATTTATCCAACTATTAGATTTTCATTTCTTTAATGCTTTTCATTAGGAGGCTTGTGTTGAGTAAGTAAAAACAAATAAGGTGATCAGGGGAAATCCTAAGAGGCCATTTCTTGGGAAAGCCATTTTTCCTTTTGGAATTTGCTCACAGCTCAGAGCCAAATGGAAGAAGATGCTTCAATGGACAATGTACGGTGAAGGATATCTTCATGTGCACATAACAGAAAACACAACCCATAGTATTACCTCATAAGGAAGTGCGCTTGCTCACATGACCAGAAGACCCAGAAA